ACACACACACACACACACACACACACACACACACACACACACACACACACACACACACACACACATATAATTTAACATTCAAAATTAGTAAAAATTAGCAATATGTAAGAACAGTGACCTAAATAATAAAAGATTAGTGGAAACTTATAGCTGGGATTTTACACTCAGAAAGTGAACTAAATAATGAAAATGGTGAAATGTTTAGCACTTTATTTTACACCTGGCAGGTCATAGCAGTTTGGATGACTTGTCGCCATCTGGTGGTAAAATTTCATATTTCAGCTTCCTGTTTCACTTTTTACCAGAGAAACTAATGAGTTGGTAAAAAAAAAAAAAAAGGTACCGTAGTCATTTTCTGATTCAGCAGCATCATTTACTCTCATCWTCTCAGTTTGAATCAAGTATCTAACTTCAAAACCAACTTTATGCATCATATTTGATTTATTATCTAAAACATCAGATATTAAAACGGTTCTTTCTGAGTGATCTGTTGAAGGTTTCTAATTATAGTTTTTTAGTGTTCTGTTCTGATGTATGCCTGTCCGACCCTGTGGGTCCTTCTTGTTCAGAGTCAGACATTTTGGAGTGAAGGTGGTTAGAAGGCCGTCTGTCTCTGCAGAAGGTGTTTTTCACGCACCTGCACCTTCAGGTGTTTCTGAGAGGAAGTGTGTTTTTAACACGATGATTGACGCTGCAGCAGTGTAGGGATCACCTTGACGCTTCTGTCTCWTCCACCTGAGATCTTTATGCAACACGTCTTTTTAAAAACATCACATCGGGAAGGGGTCTGTCTCTGTAGGGATGGTTTTCTCAGGTGGTGACTTTGTCAGTGTGACCCTAACTTCATGTGACGACACTGCAGAGGCAGGAAACACAACCAGCTGCTGCTATGACCACCAGGTGGCGCTCAGAGACAGGACTGTTTATATGCAAAGAATCTGGTCTCTGCAGAAAACTAAAAATGAGTTTTAAAACCTTTACTGACAGTTTTAGTCATGATAATGAATTTTAAAATCTTAATTATGTAAAGATTTAAAGTTACAATTCTAAAATTTAAGACGCTTAAAGGACAAAGATTCCCTGAAGATGATTAAAAATAAGTTCCAGATCCATTAGAAGATATAAATTATAATAATTATGACTTTAAAGTTCTTTTATACTTAGAATAATGAATCATAAATGTCTTAAAATCATAAACATGAGATACAAAGTGATAATATTTAGTTTTAATGGATGGATGTGTGTTCTTAACTGTAATTTCATTGTGCTTTGTACAATGACAATAAAGGTTATTCTATTCTATTCTGTTCTATTCTGTTCAAATCCATTAGGAAATACCATGTTATAACTAGAGAATTTGCATTTCCTGTAAAAATAATAAAAAAAAGCAGTGTGAATGTTTATTTCTGAAGGGTTTTTCCTGAAAGCTGTTGAAGCTGAAAATGTTTGAAAGCAAAACTGTTAATGTGAGTTAAATTTAAACAGCTGACTTTTGGTGAAACTAGGAAAACAAAAGCAGACAGTAGCCGAAACAGGTCAAAATTAGCAGACAGGTGGTGAATGGAGAGCRGAAAACTCACATTGGCAGAAAAACAAGAAAAAAGTTTTAAAAAGTTACAGTTTTATGTAAAACAAAAGCAGCCAAAATTATCAGAAAAATATATAAAAAGCAGTTGAAAAGGCTAAAATTATCTCAAAGACATGGAAAGAGCACGTTTACTAAATTGAGCTGAAATTATCTAAAAAAATAAAGTGAATTTAAAAACGCTAAAATTAGCTGAAAATAGCAAAAATGTAGCTAAAAAGGGGAAAAAACAGTGAAAATGAGCAGAAATCTGTAATAAAAGAAGCGTAAAATACTGAAATTAGAAGCTGATAGAAGCCGAATATGTTTGCATTTACAGAATAACAGCTGAAGAAGCAGAAAAAAAGCTAAAATTTGCACAAAGAAGTTAAAGTTGTAAAGA